TATATATATATATATATATATATACTTCTTGTTTTGTGTGCTGCTCTCCCTTTTCTGCTTTTGCTTACAGGTCGCCGTCATGCGACATCAAAGATAAAGACATTTGAAGACGTCTATAGCTCACTTGACTCCTTGGGCTTCCGAGTAAGCGATAGAGAGAGACCCAGCAGCGAGTCTTACTCAATTCGTGCATGCATGCATGCATGCATGCATGCATGCGCATACTGATAATAGTAGGACCAATCGCCAAGGCATGTGGATGTTTTTTATGTTTCTGCAACTGTTGCGGCAGTTAGATCCCATGGTGTCTACCTCTATTGAGTGATTGCATTTGCCTACATCTAACTGCATGCACGAGCTGGCCTACTGCCTCCGTCTCTCCCCTTTGTGGTGTGTATGCACACCGCGTCAGCTCATGGCTATTGATTGGTATTGTGTATTTATTGACGGCGGCTGTACACTTCCTTTATGAATTCTTGCTGCAGGGAGAGGCCCTCGCTTCCCTCTGTTGCGTTGCCCGCGTGTCGCTCGTCACCCGCTGCCGCGCTGCCGACTTTGCAACCCGCGTCGTCTTTAATCACAAGGGAGAACAAGTGGCCACCGAGGCGACTGCTCGAGAGGTGGGGGAAGAAGCGCCTCTCCCGGTGTACAGGCACCCGAGTATTTCAAGTCATTTGGAGGGAAAGCTGGCCAATCATAGAGTGCTACATTTATACATGCATATGTTTGCATGCATACAGTCCACTGAGGGTTTAGGACTTGCTACAGGCATACATATGCGCATGCATTGTATGGATGCATGGATGCATGTTCGCAGGTGGGCACGAGTGTGATTGTGGAGGACGTCTTTGGTCGACTCCCGCTGCGGCGACGGACTATGGAGCAGACGAAGCAGCGACAGCTGCAGGACGCCTTGGCATTAATTCAGCGGATCGCTTTGTTGCATGCAACAACTTGTCGAATGGTTTTTTCTAATTTTGATTCAAAAATGTATGTTGCTGATTTTGGGGCTTTTTTCTTTTTTATGCAGCACTAGTAGTTGAATGCTTGCATATATTTTACTCTGTGTTTCAAAAGGAGCGTTGCTTAGCTTCCTAGAGATATTCATTCTTACCAGCTGGATTCTGTTATCTTGTCCCCTGCAGCAGCAGCAGCAGCGACATGAGGGCTGCGCGGGTGTCTGTGTCATGCAGCAAATGCGTAGTTATTCATTAGGCGTTTCTAGGGGTCTATCTAGGTTTTGTGCATGCGGTACTTCTTCACGTGGGGCACTTGGGGATGCATGCGGCATGCATGCAGCATGGATGCGGCGTGGTGCATGCGGTTTCAGGGGAAGCCGCACCACCTTCTTGGCAACCAAGGGAACAAGCTGCAACCTGCTGGAGGCCGCGTTGAGCGTCTACGGGCCTAAGCAGTTGGCTTCTTGCACGGAGATAACTTTATCCGGGAGCGAGCCGGGGAGGGAATGGCGGTGAGCCCCCACCCTGCTGCTGCTGCTGCTGCTGCTGCACCTTCTGCTGTAGCTCACCTTGGCGGTGCTGTACCTGTTTGAGGCACAAACATTTTCATGGATAGAAGGCAACTATAGTCTGCATCAACAGGCGTCGTGGGGGTTTTGCTGCTCTGGTTGCTGCTGCTGCCGTCGCTGCTGCTGCGCTAGGGCACAGCAAGTCGCTTTTTTCTGCTGCTGTTGCTGTTTTCCCCTGCAGGCTTGAGGCCGTTATATCGCGTCCTCCCCACGGCATTCGATCGACAGCACTGCAGCAATTCTTTGTAAAGAGGAGGGCGGTAGAATTCCCTCCTCTCTTGCAAAAATTGTTGAATAAGTAGGCGGGAATACACTCAAACCCTAAACCCTAAACCCTACCACACCTAAACCCTCCGCCACACACACCTGTTGCTTCAGAGGATCGCGGTGTACAGTAACCTTGAGGAACCAAAGCCTCTCATTATGCTGCAGAGCAGCAAAGAGTTGCTGCACTGCAGCAACAGCAGCAGCAGCAGCGGGGTTGGTATAGGATTGTTGTTGAGGGTAATCGGTGGTTTGGGGTGTACGCAGGAAATGGAAGGAAGTTAGCAGCAGGGGACTTTTTCCTGTTTGTCTTGGCTTCCTTGAGCTTGATGCTTCCTTAGTAGATATAAATCTGCGGTGAGCATTTTGTTGCTACTGCTGCTCTCTGCTGCATGCGGCACGGCATGCTGTCCGCCATATGTTGCATGCAGCACGTGCTGTACTATACGGGTGCTGCTAACTGGTAGATTCAGCAAAGATAGCAGCAGCAGCAACAACACCAATAACAACACACCAATAATAACACACCAATAACAACAAAAGCAGCAGCAACAGCACGTTGGTCTGCTGCATGCGCATGCGTATCCTTAGGAAAGACAAACAAGAAGTTCTCCTGGCTGTAGAGCGAGACCTCGCGCAGGCACTATTGGTAAGTAGTAGCAGCAGCAGCAGCAGATCCTGCGGTGTCTCTGTATCTGTAATATACTGCATCAGCTTCTGCCTATTTATCTATTATTTGTATTATTATTTGATGGGTTACTTACCTGCATGCAAGTTTATATATATAAATAAATAAATATGTTCGCTGCGGGTTGCAGGAAGCGGTGAGTAAGGTGTTGGCACCGTCTGTTAGCTCGATGGGCGTCGAGTCATCTCAGAAGCAGCGGCAGCTCGAGCTCCAATTCAACCCCATTTCCTCTCAAAAAGTTGTGTCTCAGCAGCAGCAGCAGCAGCAGCAGCAGCAGCAGGAAGAGCAGCAGCAACAGGAACGGGACGACCGGCAGACCGGCAGTAACCAACAACTCCCGGCCTTAGCAGACTCCTCCCAGGGTAGCGTGACAGAAAGCCAGGAGCAGCAGCAGCAGCAGCCTGCAGCAGCAGCAGCAGCAGACCGGGATGCCAACACGCAGGGGGAGTGTGGTGATGCCGGCAGAGGCGCTGAGGAGCCCATGTGCGTGGATCCTCAGACCAGCATACAGCAGCGTCAAGCCAGTATGCCGTCAGCTGCTGTATCTGCTGCTGCAGCGGCAGCAGCAGCAGCAACAGCAGCAGAGCCTCCCAGCTCTCTCCCTCGCGAAGACGGCTGGCTGCGCAACCGGCAGCCGCAGTCACCTCGGGAGCAGCGCTCCTTGACAGTAAGCGATTCAGATGAAGGTGTACGTACACCGCAGCTGGTGCTAACTGTGCATACACCTCCTCCTCTTACTCAACCTCATGGGTACAACGAACAACAGATGGATAACAAGCCTAATGATGAGGGAAGTGCAGCGCAGCAGCAGACAGTCAATGGGAAGCGCAGCAGCAGGAATTCATGCAGCAATTATTTATTTTCTGCATCTAGCCCCATCAATCTGTCTTCTGCTGCTGCTGCTGCAACTGCTGCTATTGTTGCTGCTGCTGCCGAGACCCATTATGAAGGGGTAAGGCCTGTTAATACAGATTCTGCAGCGGATGCAGTTGTAGATGAAGTGTTGGCTGCTGCAGTGGGGGAATGTTCCTTAGATTGGAGTCCTGTATACACTGTGGAGGAAAATGAAGAGGCTGTGGGGTCCTCTGCAACAGCAGCAGCAGCAGCAACAGCAGCAGCAGCAGGAGATGCATGCAATATCTCATCGCAAGCCCCCGGTGCAGGAGCATCCTTCCCGTCTACTCAGCCCTGGCCAGATGCCCCTACCAACTTTTCTGTCGCCACCGGTACAGTACCAGGGGTTTCCCAAGGGGGCCCCGGTGGGGCCCCTAATGGGGCCCCTGGTTCCTCTCCTGGTGCTGCTGCTGAATGGGAGTCTAACGGTTCCTCCTTCTTCCTCTTTGATAAGGATTTCTTTAGGAAGTTGACACTTGTTGGTCAATTCAATGAAGGATTCATCATTGCAGCTCTGCGCAGGTATAGACGGCCTCCGTCGCTGCCGGCTCTTCCTGCTCCGGAGGAAGGAAGCAGTATGAATAGCAGCAGCAGCAGCAGCAACAACAGCAGCACCAGCAGCAGTAGCAGCAGCATTGGCGGAGGAGAGATAGTAACAAGTTTATTTATAATAGATCAGCATGCAAGTGATGAGAAAAGAATATTTGAATATTTAAATGAACAATTCAAGCCCCGCATGCAGCCCCTAATTGCTCCTCTGCGTCTATCTCTACCTGCGCATCTATTAGCAGCAGTAGAGGTATTTAATCCTCATCTTATAGCTAATGGATTTGCATGCATTTTTGGTGGGACTGCCAGCCCCATTAAATCCTTAATGGATACACAGCAGCTCATGTTATGTGCAGCAAAAGGACGAGGAGAAGAAGTATTACCTGATATAAGATCAGCTATGATCCAACAGCAGCAGCAGCAACAGCAGCAACAGCAGCAGCAGCAACAGCAGCAGCAGCAACAGCAGCAGCAGCTGCAGCTATTGGATGCAACAGACGCTGATGAGGTTTCGTCTTCAATTCAAGAAGAAGAAGAGGAAAAAACTAACGAAACAGCAGCAGCAGCAGGAGCATCCTCCTCCTCCTCCTCCTCCTCCTCCTCTCTTACTCCTACTCCTACTCCTACTCCTACTCCTACTACTACTACTACTACTACTACTACTACTAATAATAATAATAATAATAATAATAAAGAAAAAGAAGAAGAAGAAAAAGAAAAAGAAGAAGAAAAAGAAGAAGAAGAAGAAGGACGTATATGTTACCTAACTGGGCTACCTATAGTAGAAGGCCGCCAACTTACATCTGCAGATTTTATTGAATTTATTTCTGCCTTAGCAACTGAGGATCAAGGTAAGGCTATATGGAAGGGTACAATGCCTCCACCTCGTGCTGCTGCTGCTGCTGCTGCTGCTGCTGCTGCAGCTGCAGCAGGAGCAGCAGGAACATTACAACCACCGCCAGGAACAGGAATAACAACAACAACAGCAGCAACAGCAGCAGCAACAACAACAACAGCAACAACAGCAACAGCAGCAGCAACAGGACACCATCGTGTGCTGCAGTATAGACCATCAAG